TGGCATTTGGATTTGGATTTCCAAGATGTTCAACCTGAGAAATTATTAAAATATAATTACATTCTTATTTTCTATTGCACATCTTTAAATTAAGATACCTGTTCTTGAGAAATAACAGTAATATTAGGTCCCGACGGTTTATCCCAAGTAGTTTCACGTGTTCTAGCATTATAATAATATGATTTTCCATCACCGGCTTTAGTTTCAATCCACACTTCTCCAGACATTATTGGTGGTGGGCCTTGTGGTACTCCACTATTTGGTGGCATTACAGGTGGCATCTATATAATTTCAAAATAAGTATAAAGAATTAATTTAGAGATTACAAATGTGTACGAGGTGTGTTCAAAAAGTACCCGGAATTTTTTATTTTAATGGGTCTGGAGAGTCCGATTGTCAAAATTTTTTTTTTATTGTGTTGGTATACATGCCCCTAAAGTATGATAACATTTTCAGCAATAATCACTGTTGACTTTGTCTGTGGTAGTCGCTAAGGTACGACGTGTGTTTATGAGCTCGGCGATTTTTGCTTGTTTAAACAATGGAAGAATTGAAGAGTCAAAGAATTTGCATTAAATTTTGCGTAAAAAATGAAATAAAATGTAACAAAGTATGTGAAATGTTACAAAAAGCCTATGGTGAGTCTGCTATGAAAAAAACAAGTGTTTACGAGTGGTATAAGCGTTTCCAAGATGGCCGCGAAAAAAGCACGTCAAGTTCGATCAAATGTCAAGGTTATGCTTACGGTTTTCTTCGATTTTAATGGCATAGTACATCAAGAGTTCTTACCACAAGGTCGTACGGTTAATAAGGAGTATTACCTTGAAGTTATGCGACGTTTGCGTGAAGCAATCCGAAAAAAACGCCCCGATTTATGGAAAAACAATTCATGGCTTTTGCACCACGATAACGCACCTGCTCATTCGTCGTTGCTTGTTCGTAATTTTTTGGCCAAAAACAATACCGTAGTCATGCCCCAACCTCCATATTCACCAGATATGGCTCCGTGTGATTTTTTCCTGTTCCCAAAGTTGAAAAGACCCATGAAAGGACGGCGTTTTTCCTCGATTGAAGAAATAAAAGCCGAATCGCTGAGAGTGCTCAAGTACATGCCAAAAAGTGAATATCAAGAGTGCTTCGAAGATTGGAAAAAACGCTGGCATAAGTGTATTATATCTGGGGGGGACTATTTTGAAGGGGACCACATTGATGTAGACGAATAAATAAATATTTTTTTGAAAAAACGGAAATTCCGGGTACTTTTTGAACACACCTCGTATATTAAATACAAATTAAATGAGTATGAATATAATGTGTATAATTATCATATTTTTAAAGGAAGTCATACTTGTAACAATGAAGGCAACTGATTTGTTGGGGGACCTGCAGCCTGACCATTTCTATCTTGTTCATTAAATGGTGGTGCTTGACTTTCTCCAAACTGTGGACCTCCTTGAGATATTGGAGGTGGACCATTCATCATATTTGGAGATGAATCTTGAGGAACACCATTCCAGTTTTCTTCAGCATTTTCTGAGGACCATCTACTTCTTTGAGGTTTAAAACCTCCATTTGTGGGACTATTAAAACCATATGAACCACCACCTCGATAATTAGAAGATCCTTTAGGATTGTTGTTACCAAATCCCCCAAATCTTCCAGCTTCATTACTTCCTTTACCATTGTTCCAATTAGGCTCATTTCTATACTCAGAAGATCCATAATTATTATCAAATTGACCGTTACCATCTCCAAATTCCCTATTGACACGTAAATTATAAGAATACAATATTGTTAAGTATATAAAATATAGGTTCCAAATACCTGAAAGAACCTCTCCCATTATCATCAAATGATTGTTCATTTTCAGAATTAGGATGTCCATTTTCTTGATCATATGAATTATTCATTGACTCATGATTACTAGAATTCATATTATCCTGTCGATTTGAGTTCATATTACTATCTTGATCGTTAGAATCTACATTATCATTTTCAAACGAAGTCATACTATTTTGAGCATCATTAAATTCTTGCTGAGTTGAATCCACTATAGGATCCATCAAATTAGAATCGGCCATTTAACTATGAAGTAATAGAGTTAAAATTTGATATTATAACAATAGATGTAAAATAAATTAGGTTTAGATATTTACAACAAAAAAGTTTATTGTTGATAAATTGATTAGAACCAGTTAGCATAAGACTTTTAAATTTAAATAGTTACCTATCTATGCGACAATGTCACTTGACAGATAACACAGTGGTCAGACCCAAAAGCCAGAGTTCAACCAAAATACCTAGCACATAAATTTACTTAAAACAGTCTAATTTCGTATGTGCTTTACCAACATTATTTGTATTATATTTTTCATCTATACTCTGGCCCACAAGAGATCAGTACAGTCAGGTGCATGCAGACTGACCGGCAGCGACGATGCGGAACCCAATTTTTCCCACTATGTGTCACAGTGTATACAGTTGAGCGTTGCCGACCGACACCGGCAGTCGCCGAAACGCTGTCGGTTGGTTGAGTGGGGAGATGCGCGAAATCGGACGAGTTTTGGTCGTTTAGCGATCCTGATCTCTCGTGGGCCGGAGTATAGTAAGTATATTTTAATTTTTGATTATAGTTTAAAAAATGTTTAGGTAACATAACCTACAATATTTTTTACTAGTTTTATTATCAAAATTAATAAATTATGTTTGAAATACCTATAAACACTTAGGGCCGCTTTCACCAAATACTTTAAACTTCGATTACGCTTAATCGACTGATAACAGATATTTAACCGGGCAAATTCGGCCGATTAAACCACGGTTTAACTTTAATCGGAGTTTAAAGTAGTGGTGAAAGCGGCCCTTACACTTAAGACTAAACCCAAGTAGAAATTATAAAAGAATGTAGATAGGTGATAGGTCCCTACTTCACAAAATGTTTTTTTTTTGTTATGGAAATAATGTAATTATCGAGGTAATTATAGTACCTATCTGATAAATAAGGTGGTTGATCTAAGTTTTATTTTAGATAAAAAAATTGTTCCCGTCAATACATTTAAAATATGTTCAAATATAGCACTCACATTTTTGGACTTTGTCGAGAGATATGGATTGATTTTAAGTTATCTTCCTTTAATAAATCTATCTGTTGTTCAATTGTTTGTTCAATATCAGAGTATGGTACAGTAATCTAGAATCCTAACACAAATACTGACGAGTATCAGTTTGAGCGTTTATATCAGAAATTTTTCAAGGTTACGCTTTTGTTTTAAGGATTGAATCCTGTTCTTTATTTCTTTGACTAAAAACCATAAGCTAATAGAAAAGTTGATAGTAATCTTTTATTCTGGTGTTTTTGTCTAAGATTATTAATTCGGATATAAGATGCTCCAGTATTATTGGGAAACATGATTGCCTTGTTCCTCCTTGTAACCTTTACCATTTCCATTAATTTACTATTCCCATTTGTCCTAGGTACATATTATCTAAAAACTAATCTTTTGTATAAGATGATGAAGTTGGCCCAACGAGGCTCTATCATTCATCATTTGATTTATTATAATTACTTTTATAAGTCTTGTTAATAGGTATAGCAATTATTATAGGTACTATTTCAATGTACCTAATTTTTTTACAATTTTTTTAAATTTCTAAATATTGGTATGTCTGTTTAGCTTTAACAAATTTTGAATTGGATTCAACTTGAGTGTCTGGAGGTACATACCTACATAAATAATATAATGGTCGTTGAAAAATCAGTTAATAAAGAATAGGTAAATCACATTTTTTAAATACGTTTGCAAATTTGATTTAGAATAATGCTGCCCACAAAAAATTCATTAAAATAGTAGTAGGTATAAACTGTTGTTTTGAGATTAGATACAAATAAGTTTTTACCGACAACGATATTGATTTAACAATAATATTAAAACATAGGTATAGATTTAAAACTAATTAAAAATACTAACCAATCAGGTACCTACCTAGTTTGTTAATTAATATTAAATAAATTACAATACATTACCTTCGGTCGATCGAACAATGGTGTAGTTGTTATTTCTATGCAAATTCACAAGTCAACATTAACACGAAGTACACGTACTGTTTTGAACACTCGTTAAAAATAATTCCAAGTCGATAAAATTGTTAGAGCCGATCGACGAAATAACAAAAAGTAAAAAAGCAAATTGCAATAATAATTATTATTGTGGCATAGGTATAAGTGCTAAAAAACCATTTATTTTGTCACGCCAAGAACTGGGGAACCGTCGAATCGAATGTCAAAACTGACGGAAGCACACAATACAGTGTACACTGACCCGCGGAAACGGATTACAGTATAGGCACTTGAGGGGACCGTCTTGGTGCCGTGAACTATGAAGTCGTGCTTAGGAGCGGATAACTCGTGAAAACAGTGTGGCAAATACATAGATATTAATACACCGTACGATTTTCGTGTACAATATTATCTTAAACCGTGATCGTCATGCATTCTATGTTATCAATGTTTTTTTATTTCCGAAGTCAGAACTCAGGTTATGTTTTTTAGATAAATAATCAAATATTGCTGTGCTTTAAACTTTAATTAACTACGGTGTTCGTTTGATTTGTGAAGTCGAAAATTAAACGATATTGCAATCGACTATATAATATTAATAATTGATATTATATAGACATTAACTGTTGTTCCGTGACGCTGAACCTTACAATATTGTATGATAATTCATATTGTCTAACGCATACGGTCTGATGGAATAGTAATATAATAATCATAATATGATGTCATATTATGGGTATTCTCGAATAATCATGTGCCGATAGTTTTTTTATCAATACATTCAAATAAATCGAATGTACTCGCATTATCTAATTCGTGAACTGTGCATTTAGATTTTAGAATAAGTTGTCGCTTTTGAACATTCAATTTTCCAAGTGTTATCATAAAGTTTAAACGTAAATGCTCATATTTTGTTCGCGTAGAGTAATTTTATATACTAACGATGTATGATTCTGTAAAAAAATTTGTTTCGCGACACAAACGTAAATTTATAATAAGCGGCGCATTGTTTTGTAGTACTGCGTATGTAGTTTACACTATAAAAAAGAAATTGGCAGAGAAAAAAGATAAAGAAAGTCGAGAATATCTGGAACGAAGTAGACGGCAACAGCACTACGAAGCCACAGAAAACACCTCAAACCGCATGATAACTGAATTTGTTAAACAACTTCATGTTAAATATTTTGCAAAAAATTTACGCATTGAAAATATTATAGATAAATTGAAGAAGCAAAATGATTTGGCACTTTGGGAAGAAATGAGAATATGTGTTTTTACTCGAGCATGCTTACTGGTTTACGCTGAAACTATGTTGGTAATAACATTGAAAATTCAACTCAATCTGCTCGGAGGTCTTGTATACAAAAGTCTATCGCAAGATTCACCTCCAATTTGTTCAAAAACTCAAGAAGACTATTTGTTACATTTTAGTTATTTCATCGAAGACGGTATTCGACGTTTAGAAGAATATTTACATAGTAAAGTTATTAAGTATGTTCAGCAAGTTCCTATCCAAGAACAATACAATTTACAGGAATTAGAAAAACTGTTTTTCCTCATTCAAACTGAAATTGCAAGTGATACAGACAGTCCTTTTCGATGTATAGATTCATACATGTTACACCAAATGCCACAAGTGCGAGAAGCACTACTACAAGACATGGTAAATGAAACGCGAGAACTATTAAAAAACGACGAGATAATTTCAGTAGCTCGTTACTGCACATCTCATAGTTTTAATAAGTTAATGGATGCTATTACTGTAAATACGCCTAATCGGTCAGCAAATTTACCTACTACTGTCAAAATGCCATTTGCCAAGTGGTTACCAATTGTTGACAGATCGACTAAAGTTACGGAAAGCGGAGACTGCAGTCTAAAACAAAATGTTCACTTGGATGCAAAAGTTAAAGTGCTTAGTGCAAATGTTTATGAGGCATTTTGTTCTGCTTAATTGTATTTAAAGGTTTTTGTTTTTTTTTTTATTAATTATATTTTATGAACTTGTTTTGTTTTTTAACTCAAATATGTATGGGTATGTATTATAATATGTACTCAATTTATATTTAAATTCTTACAAATGTTAAATTAATTGAGCCATGAATATTTATTTTTGGGAAATTTGGGACTTATTATAATCTAATAGCATTAATATAAAAAAAAAAAACATTTTGTAATATTGCCATTGATGAAATTGAATCTATTTATCTGTAATGCATGATATTATGCTCTATAATTAAAATCATATTGAGTTTCAATCAGTGTTCCAAGAAATGTATATTGTGTTTTATTTTTTTTATTTATCTAAAACAAGATAATATCTACTTATAATATTACTTAGATATAATACTTATATCTACTCACAAGAAAAGTAGATAATTATAAATAATAAATTGATAACTATTAATTTCAATAAGCTGCTAAAGCACAGTGGTAGTTAGAACAATATTTTAGACTCCTAGCGTATTCTATATATTAACCGTGTACTTAAGTAATAACACAAAATAAACTAAATCATTTATTCCTGGTAATAATAGCAAAATATACATTAATTCCTAATTTTCATGTTCTACATTAAAATAAAATAAAAAATTACCAATTAATGGTCACATTGAGTGATATTTTTATTACAAGCTAAGTTCCAAGTGGCAAGACAAAGTTAAAAATATTAATTTTATAATAGAATTATTAACGTTATAGTAGATGGTGGTAATCGGAAAAAAAGTCCCTCACTAGAAAAAAAATGAATTAAAAAAATTTAAGTATAAATATGTTAAAATTGTAATGAAAAAAAAATTAAAATTAAATAAAAAATCATATAATTTCATAAAAAATAGAAGGGAGCTACACCTATATTATGCTATATATTTAATTTTAAAGTTGAAGATCATATTTTTGGCTTTTGCTATAATTTAGTAATTTACTATTTAGTTTTAGTGTAATGATAATATGGTATATATCAAATTGTTTATAGATAAATGTAGAAAGTTTCATATTATAAATTATTCATTATAAATTGAAAGGTAATTAGCAGAGGTAATTTTAAAAAAAATTGTTTAAACAAACATGGAAATCATCACCCTTATTATTGATAATTCGATTATGGTCCTAAGGACTTTTTTTGTTCCATTTGAGGTGTAGAAACACCCTCTGGTATGTATCATAAAACAAATTTGTTGTTGCTCATATAATTTTAGGGGAATTACCCCTCTTAATATTGTTATATCAACATATAAAATTTTCTATTTTTCTTCCATCAATACCATTACCCACCCACCCATATTTAAGGTGTGCTACAATTGGACCCTATGTTACATGCCATGGCCACTGGTCAGTGGTCACTATAAGTCTATAACTATTACAGTAGGTATTACCAATAAATTATAATTCATAAAACATTTAATAGGTGGAACATTGGACATTTTACAAACTTTACCGGCACTCGCTATTTTTTTTTTTTAAGTTCCTGGGTGTTATGAGTTTAATTATTTATAATACAGGGTTATCCATTTAACGTAAGACACTTTATCGTTTTACCATCTACTTTTCGTATAATAAGTTAGCAAATCATTTTTAAGGAGTTGTGTTTAGGCAATTATTTCGTTCCTGTGATAACTGATCGTCTTTGTGTGTGTATACTCCCCTACCAGACACGCCCGGAGGGAGGGGCCAGCCGGGCCAGGTGGTGCAAATTAAAAAAACTAACACTAATTGTTGTTCATACATTTAAGAAACTTTGTAATTATACAATTTTATTATATACACTATACTATTTAATAGGTACCTACTTATACATAATCATAGATATACAGGGTGATTTTTTTATCGAAGAACACTCATTATTTCAAAAAGTATTAATGTTTAAGAAAATATTTTTTTACATAGTTTCAAGTTGTTAAAAAACAATATTTTTACTAAAAAATTATATTTTTAAATATTTTTTATCCTTTTAATTTTTTAAGTTTTTTACTTTTTTGAATGACAACATCTAATTTTAATTTGATATTCAAAAACAGAATATTTTTCTGAGTATTTCGATACATAAAAATTGAATTTAGGGCAATTAGTTTATGAGTTATAAGTATTTAAAGTTTAGATGAGCGGAGTAGAGTGGTACGGGGTTACCCCGCGAAATGTTTGTCCTCTACTCCGCTCATCTAAACTTTAAATACTTATAACTCATAAACTACTTGCCCTAAATTCAATTTTTATGTATTAAAATAATCAGAAAAATATTCTGTTTTTGAATATCAAATTAAAATTAGATGTTGTCATTCAAAAAAGTAAAAAAATTAAAAAATTAAAAGGATAAAAAATATTTAAAAATATAATTTTTTAATAAAAATATTGTTTTTTAACAACTTGAAACTATGTAAAAAAATATTTTCTTAAACATTAATACTTTTTGAAATAATGAGTGTTCTTCGATAAAAAAATCACCCTGTATAAAGTTTTATATATCTATGTACATAATACAGTTGATAGCGCTTCAGTGGTATGGTGAATACAGGGTGATCCATTTAAGGCCCCTGCAAACCCTATTAATTTTTCATCAAAACGACCTTAGCGACTGACAAAAATTAAAGTACTTCTATAGTGGTTCGATTTAAAAAATGTTAAGATGATTTAATTGGTTAACAAGTCTCCTTTGCGTCGGTCGTAGAAAATTATTTATATTTTTGAATATATTCAATAAAAAAAATTTATAAATTTATAAAATGTAAAATATTTATTCTCATCAAGAATTTGCTAAAATTGAAAAAAGTGCTCCTACCGATGCAAAGTAAACTTGTTTGCCAACACAAACATCTTTACATTTTTCAAATCGAACCACTAGAAGTACTTTAATTTTTGTCAGTGCGACGGCTATTTCACGTCCATAAATTGGTTTTGAATATTTTGATCTAGACTTTAAGTGACTTGTTCATGTGCGTGGGTGCGACCATAAACCAGATGAGAAATAATAATGTATTATAAATTGATTTGAGTCGCGGGTGATGGTAAGGGACAGGCACGCCCGCAGATATGTAACTCACTAGGTGCAAAATACCTACTTTTAGTGACACTATAAGCTGTGAGGGGCTTTCCCCCCATTCCCTTACCCTTATTTAATGACATCTTTATGATGAATTTTTAAAAATATAAGAATTCAAAATTTATATTGATTATAGGTACCTACCTAATAATTAGATACTTACCTACATAATGGTTAATATAAATTGGTTATCAATCGTATAATAAATAAATAAATTGTTTGGAAAAATAAACCATTTAATGAATCAGCCCTAATTTTAGTGATACCTACGTTAGTTTCATGTTTTATATTATATCCAAGTAAAAATTTTAATTGCAATTTTCAGCATTAACTGTAATTGTTTTACAATGCAATTAAAATATGAATTATTGTGTTACAATACAATAAACAATCTATAGTGTTAGGTTTATAAGTGTACAATAAAAATAATAGTATCATAATATATTATCTGTATACAGACATACAGTATACACCAATATATTATTATAATGAGTGGATCAAACATACCTACCCATAATATTGTACCACAGTTAAGAGGCCTCGCCACTTCCGTCAATTTTAGCCCGAAAGACCTGAAGTTTTAACAAAATTAAAGTTAGTTTACGTTGTCCGATTTTTATTCTGAATAATCCGAACTCGCCAGAAAATTGTCCATAGATCGTACGGAACACTTTGTAAACATTAAATCTTATATTATTGTAAACTGTGATTGATTAAAAATTGCCTAGATGTTGCCCCTCAAATAATAGCCGTAGCGAGGCCCCTTAACGAAATTAAAAATATATAATAGTTATCATTTAGTGACCAAACTAAATGTATTAATAGACGCGTGGTATTACTGTTCTAATATCACTATACTAATATCACTATACCCTATACTAAAGTCCGACAGACGACAGCAGTGCCGTAACTAGGCTACTTGAGGCCTGTGTGCAAACCAAAATATTGAGGCCCCTTATTATCTTTTTCAATACACAACTCAACAACTTTTTTTGCAATTTTTAAAGTCAGCAGACAAAAAAACCGGTCGACAATTCTGCCGATTTTTTTGTATTCAGAAGGGCCAGTTCTATAGACCATAAAAAAATTAGGTTGTACAATAAATAAATTAACAATACAATTCAGCCTAATTGAAAATATAATTTATTGTGATTTAAATAGGTAAGTTGGGAATTTCAATCTTGAAGTGGTTGAAAAATTGCAATATTTTATGGATATGGCAGAGCTTGCAAACGTTATAATAACATTATGATTATTGATTATAACGTTTTATTTTTTACAAAAAACGATACATGTTTGTAAACGTAATTATAACGGAATGCGATAATCAAAAATAATTAAATACAGCATAACAAAACATATAAAACGGTTTTAAATTCTTAAACTACATAGCGCTAGCGTTTTAACTTTCAAAACGGTTTGAGTATAAACCGTTTTAACGCCATCATATAAACCTAGTAATTTACTAGGTTAAAAAATAAATAATAAATAATTTATATATTTTAATAATTTTATATTAGTTTAATATTAGTCTTTAGATCTTCTGAGGCCCTTCGATATATTATGGGGCCCGAGGCCTGTGTGTGGTACACACTCTGCACACCCGGTTTTTACGGCACTGTATAAAACGCAATATAGGTACACCCCAACACATACACAAAAAACAATAATTGTAAAATCGCAATACGCATTGGTCGCGTTCTGTTCTGAATCTAAAAATCTTATAGGTACCTGCAAAAGTATAAAGCGAGTATATATAATATATATACGACAGTATAGTAATATAATGCAGATCGACATATAAATCCTCGTTAAAATATTATAATACAATTATTATAGTGTACCTCTGCGTAAGTATATACAGTTAGAGTCGGTATACCAATAATAGTCGTAATAATGGCATTTGGAAAAATTAACGG